GGTCCAGGATGCTCCACCAGGGTCCTCGCCGAAGGAAAAATGCACACGTCCGAGCGATGCCAGGCAGAGCAAAAGCAAGCTGCGGAACGCCGAAAGACTATAGTTGTACCCATCGGTCGGAAGAAGTAGGTAGGAACATGAAGTAGGAAGGCGTTGGCAATAGATTGGGTCTCCGCTCGCCTCCTGAAGAGGAAGGAAGAGAGAAAACCACTCTACTCTTGAAGTAGGAAGGCGCTGAAAGTAGATTGGAATCTGGAATCCAAAAATACCTACTTTCAACGACCGATGGGTACTGCCGGTTTTGGCTCTTCCCGGGCGAGACCCAAGGGAGGCAACGGTGGCATTCAGCCCAGCCCAACCATGCTCAAAATCATCCCCCCCGGACCCCTCCGAGGGTCCATGCTGACCCGTTCCTCGGCGCGGCTCAAGCCGTGGCGACGAGAAGCCTCCAGGAGGCCCAAAAAGAGCAACAAAAAGCAAGGCGGGCATGGCCGTGCAGTTGGCGCTGCTCAAAGAAATGTCGGCGACCTTCCAGTCGCTCGCACTTGCACGCTCAGCCTCCGGCCACCTGTGCCAGTAGAATCGGACAGGGCGGAGTTCCATCGAGCTCGTCTGCCCTTTCTGTTGTTTGTTGCTTGGGGTGTAAGACCGTGCTTCGCAACGACATCTTGCCTCACCTACACACCTGCCAGCAAGGCGGGCATGCTGGGCAACGCTGAGGGGGGGACCGAAACCGACGGACCCGGACCCGCAGAAACGACGGCCGCGACGCCCCCTCGCGAACCGAAGACGGCCAATTCCTTCATCGACGTGTCAGGGTAGGAGGTCTGTCCACCCCCGAAACGAGAAAGGGGAGGGGGGGACCGGCTCAGGTTTGGACGCCCGACATGGGTACGGAAAGAATGGGTACAATGCCAAACAACAAATGTTGTCCCAAACCAACAGCGGCTGCTGTTGGGCAGGCGGCGTGGACAGCGAGTCCTATTCAAAATGAACAAGGTCCGCTGTTGGTTGGTCCACGCCGCCTGCCCAACAGCAACTGCTGTTGGTTTGGGACAACATTTGTTGTTGGGCATCGTACCCATTCTTTCCGTGCCCATTTCGCTCGTGCAGATAAGGGGCAGGCGGGAAGCATCGACCCGGACTCGGGCGGCACCGCGCCGACGGAGCGGAGACGTGCCCCCCCCCCCCCCCCCCCGCGGCGAGTCCGCGCGCTGAAAGGGGCGGGGTGGGCCACGGAGGCCCCTACGGGAGAGGACGGGGCGGCCTCGGAGACGACGCCGCCCCTCCTCGGCCCCAACCCCGCCCCGACGCTGCGGGGCGGGGTGGGCCACCGAGGCCCCTATGGGAGAGGTCTGCGCGGCCTCGGAGGCGGCGCCGCCCCTCCTCGGCCCATATCCCGCCCGAGCGCGGGAGGAGGATGAGGAGGAGGAGGAGGAGGAGGAGGAGGAAGGAGGAGGGGAGGGAGGAGGGAGGAGGGAGGAGGGAACAGGGCAGCGCCCAACGCGCCGCCGCGGGGGAGCCACCAGCGCCTGCCACGGCTGACAGGAGCACCGTGCCAGCGGACAGCAGCGAGGAGATATAGGCACGCCCACGAGAGCCCCCGACGGCGGCGCCGTCGTCGATACCCATCGGTCGGAGGAAGGGAGTAGGAGGAGGAGGAGGAGGAGGAGGAGGAGGAGGAGGAGGAGGAGGAGGAGGAGGAGGGGGATAAGGAGGAGGAGGAGGAGGAGGAGGAGGGCGTGAGAAGCAGACTGGGCTTCCGCCCGCCCCCTGAAGGGGGGGTAGGACAAAGCTCCCGATGACTGGAGTTAGGAGGGCACCTGAAGCAGATGGGGGGGCCTGGGAATCCCGAAACACCTACAGTCGGGCTGCTGACAGGAGGAACGCTAAGTAAGCACCGAAGCCCCTTCTTGGCCCTGTGAGCGCCTCCGTGCCCCGGGAGGGCAAGAGGAGCAGCACTGGAGGAACCTGAGGAACATCGAGCCCCTTCCGAACCCACACTGTTCCCTACTTCAACGTCTTGACTGTACTCCCAAACGATCAGCGGGTACTCGTCTTCCCTCCCGACTCCTCCGGACCTTTGTGGGCCCCGGAAACGGCAGGGCCAATGGAGACGGCAAAAAAACGGCGACCGGAAACGGCCAAAAAAACGGCTCCAGAAGTGGAACCGGAGAGCCGGAACCGGTCCAAACAACGGCGACGGAGCCGGTAAACAAAAACGGCGTCGGAAGCGGCAGCAGAAGGGCAAAACGGAACCGGTAAAAAAACGGCCCTGTCGTTTCCAGGGCCCACAGAGCCCCTTCCCCTCTCTGTACACAGTCGTCGATGCTCCGCCCTCTGAGCCCGTCCCACACAGTGGTCGGCGGAGGAAAACGAGGAGGAGGAGGAGGAGGAGGAGGAGGAGGAGGGGAGGAGGAGGGGGAGGGGGAGGGGGAGGAGGGGAGGAGGAGGAGGAGGGGGAGGAGGAGGAGGAGGAGGAGGAGGAGGGGGAGGAGGAGGAGCTCCGGACATCGCTGGCCTGCGGCAGTCGGATCCTCTCCTCGGCCGAGCGGCCGCGCTCCGAATTCGGTGGCGCTATATCTGCGCCCGGTGTACCGGCGGCGGCCCGCCGGGGCGTCAGGGCCCAGGACTAGGGCCGATCCCTGGCCCTGGCGCATCCTCGCTCCGCCCCTCACTTTCTCCCTCCTCCTCCTCCTCCTCCTCCCTCCTCCTCTTCTTCTTGTTATTATTATTATTGTAATTCGTATTCGTATTATTCCCATTTGTATGATTAGTATTGGTCTTATTACGATTATGATTATTATGATTATGAGCATTTTTATTCGTCTTAGTACTATTATTCTTTTTCGTTGTAGTATCATTATTATTATTATTAGTAGCATGGCTAATATTAGTATTAGTATGGTTCGTCTTCTTCTTCCTCCTCCTCCTCCTCCTCCTTCTTCTCCTCCTCATCCGTTTTGACGCTGCGCTAACTTAAGGACAGGGCCCGAAACGCCAGGATACAGAAAACAAGAGAACGCCGACCTAGGCGGAGCGAAACGCAGATTGGACCTGGCAGGCGCAGCCAAACGGGACAGGCAACGAAGACAGGAAAAGAAGCAGGCCCTCGTGGGCACAGAGTATGCGCCAGCCAGGCGGTGTGAGAGGAGGAGGGACCGATGGGGTGCAGGCCGCCCAAACTGGGCCAGACCAAATGGGGTTGGAAAATTGATCACCGCATCCTCCTCCTCCACCCATCTCCTCCACCTCCTCCTCCTCCTCCTCCTCCTCCTCCTCCTCCTCCTCCTCCTCCTCCTCCTCCCCCTCCCCTGAGATCCTGGCGTTGCAATCTTTTCACAACGGGCGTTTTCGCACCGGTTCGGGCCCTGGGGCTCTCACCTATCGATCCGGCTCGAAGAACCACGCGGGGAGATGGGGTCCGGGGGACTCCGGTCGTGAATTATTGCCATGTTGCAGCTTTTTCGCAACGTCAGATCTCAGGCTTCTCCGCCGAAAGGTTGTTATGTAGGGTGTTTGGGTCCTGGGGCGTGGCCGCATTGACCCCCGGTCTGCAGAAGGGTCGCGCGAGGCGTGGAGAGCTTTTCGAGTCTTGCCGCGCACCCGGATTTGCTGCGAGGTGCGGCTGTGAACTGATGCAGATGTGGAGGCGGGCTGTGTCAGCATTGGTTATCGACTCTTGTCGACGTGGCCCTCGCCCTTGAGCAATGCAGAGACGGGCTGTGTCAGCATTGGTCACCCACTCTGGCCCTCCACTCTAATCCACGTGGTTGGCAGCGCCCTGTTTACTTCACAATGTCATGCTCCTCCTCATCCTCCTCCTCCTCCTCCGCCTCCTCCGCCTCCGCATCCTCTTCCTCCTCCTCCTCCTCCTCCTCCTGCTCTTCCTCCTACTCATCTGCCATCTCATCCTGCACTGTACGCAACTCCCCTCCAGATATTGCGCAGGAAAGAATGTGGATCTTCTGGGAGCTCCAAGCCCGCTATGACACCCGTCGACTGACATAGAAGACCTGCCACAATGGGGAAAAGATGGGTGGAGGGATAGGATGTCAGGCATGGCGCGAGCGCGCCCGGCTTGCCTACCCCACTCTCCCTCCTCCCCCTCCTCCTCCTACATGCTCCTCCTCTCGCTCCTGCTCCAGCTGATGCCGACGCTGGCCGCCAAGTAACCCCTACCTGAACCTGCGCCTGCTGCTGCGCTGCTGCTCCTCCTCCGCCTCCTCTCACGCTCCTTCGCCCTCCTCTCGTCGTCCTCCCCCGCCCTCTCCTCCTTCCAGTCTCGCTTCTCCCCCGGAGCACGTCAGCCCAGGCTGTCACATGCCTTCAATCAGAGGCTCCTCTTCCTCCCTCCCCATTTCTGGCATAACGCAAAGAGGTACCGATGTCCTGACTTCCCGCAAACGATCCAGAGGCGATTCCAACCGTGGCGACGAGGGCCTCCCAGGAGGCCCAAACAGGGAAACTCGCGCCGAAGTCATCGGTATGAGTACCTGTTCCTTCGTCGATCCTTTCCCTCACGCGGGTAATCCAAAGCGCAACCCCTGGCCATCGCTCGGACGTCCATTACTCGTGCCTTCTTCGGTTTCGATCGGCGCCCTTCTTGCCAGATGATCCAGGATGCCCTTCGATGGTGACAACCGAGAAAACATGTGCACGTCCGAAAGATGCCAAACACCCTCCTGGCGACGCCACGAGATCTCCTCCCTTGACCTGGGACCGACCGTCCCAGCAGTCTTATAGCCCTACCACGACATGTTCTTAGAACCCAACAGTGTTCGAAGATCAAAAACACTGTTCTCAGAACATAAACCCGATGTGTTCAAACACAACAGACTCCGCCAGAAATGGTCTGAGAACAGTTCGTGGAAACCTCAAGAGGTTCTTAGCACGTTGCTTGGTGGGGCTATGGGCGAGCCAGGGCGCTTCGCCACTGCTTCACACGAGGTCCCCCCCCCGCCGCGAGCTCTCCTGGGACTCGGGGATCGGCCCCCGGCCAGGCGCAGCGCGGGCGGGCCGGCCGCGCGGCCCCCCGGGGGGGCTGCCAGCGGTCCCTCGCCCAGAGACGGAGACGAATTCCGGCCCCGACCTGGGGGAAAAAACAAGCCTGAGATCCTGGCGCCCCGAGTCTCTCGAGCCTGGGGTGTCTGTCCAGCCCGTCGGCGGTGGACAGCCCTCCCTTTGGCAAACCTCCCCTCAGTGAAAGCGGACCGAAACCGACGGACCTGGACCCGCCAAAAATGACGGCCGCGACGCCCCCTCACGAACCGACAACGGCCAATTCCTTCATCGACGTGTCAGGTAGGAGGTCTGTCCACCTCCGAAACGAGAAGGGGGAGGCGGGGACCTCCTCCTCCTCCTTGTCCGCCTGCTCCTCGTCCTGCTCCTCCTCCTCCTCCCCCTCCCCTCCTCCTCCCCCTCCACCTCCTCCCACTCCCCCTCCTCCTCCTCCTCCCCCCCCTCCCCCCCCTCCTCCTCCTCCCTCCGAGCTCGAGGCCCTGGGACCCTCACCCAGCCTGGCTCGCAGCACGGCGCAGGACAGGAGACGGGTCTCGGGCTCCGGCCGGCCGACCTGCCAGGCGACCAAACACACGGGGTCCTGCGCGGGAGGGCGCAGCGACCTCGCGCCGCGGCCTATACGCTTTGGCCGCCCGCACGCCACGCTGCATCCGGGCCGGGCGCAAGGGGGGGAGAGCAGCCCAAGGGGGGGGGGGAGAATCAGCTCACGTATGGCTGATCTTCCCGGCGCCTCCCGGCGCCGGGAGGCGCCCAGGTCATATGCATCGAGGAGTGGGCCCGGCGGCGGGGCCGAAACCAGCTGCATGCAGCAGACTTCGAATCCCCCCCCTTTGCCCAGTCCCCCCCTGTCGTCCAGCCCGACACATCGGAGACGTGGGCGCCTGCGCGCGACCGCACGCGGGCAGCTCGCGCGCCAATGTCGGCGCCAAAACGACCCCGCTCTTTTCCCTGACCTTCCAGGAGGGCTAAAAAAACAGCACGCGACTTGAAAACCTGTCCCAGAGCTATTCTACGTCTTGGTGTTAGGCTGTTTCGTCTTGTGTTTTAGGTTTTTAGGTCTCCAGTGCTAAAAAATAGCTCTCTCGAAGGTCAGGGTTGCGTCGCTCGCCTGGGGGAAGCAAAAGGACGCCCGTGGAGAGAACGGGTGCTGAGGGAAACGGGCCTCGAGGCTTCTCGCCAGAGGTTTGGCCTCCCAGGGCCCTCCGCGGGCCCCTGGACTCTCCGAGAACCACTCGGGATGAGGAACTGGTCCTGGGGAGATGCCCCACGGTCCAGGACCCGTTTCCCTCAGGACCCACGTCTCTCCGGACGGAAACACATATCAGCCCTGACGTGGGAGGACAAAGTCTCGAGAGTGATCGAGCTGAACGATGTTTTGTTGTCCGTTCTTGTGTTATTCTCGTGTGGCATCCTTCTGTCATCGTTCCACCATTGTATGCTACAAAACCAATCATCAAAACGGACGCTGCCAACGAAATTGCCATCACACAGGTTTGCTCATGCCCTGGGTCTCGACACTCGGGGGCAACCAAGAGGGGGGCGTCCAGAGGAGGGGACGCAAATCATGGCTGGCGGCATGTGCGCGGCCCAAGGGCGGGTCCAGGAACGTGTTGAAATAAGGAAAGGCGCCATGACATCTGGGGAGATATCGCGCACCCCACCGCCCCCTAGTCATCACCCCCCACTTGGCCGTCCCCGAGACACTGCCACTCCCCGGACCTCTCCTGGAGTTCGCTCTGACCAGCATTTCGAGAAGAATCCGGCCGTGCCGACGAGGGCTCTCCATGATGAGCAGCGGCATCGGAATCTTTCCTTGCTCTGACGACCTACGGCAGGTCCTCGTCGCACACCCTCACCCCGTACGGGTACGGCTCCGCGCCCCCCTCGAGGGCCTCCCGCCGCAGTTCGGAGTACAGCAGCTGCTTGGAAAGCAGGCGGTGCTTCTCGCACTCCACGCGGGCTTGCTGAGCCTCTGAGAGGGAACATTGGCGGCGCGCACAAGGGGGTAGGGGGAGGGGGGAGGGCTTCTTAGAAAGAGGCTGCTTCTTAGAAGGCGCCGGCCTTACAACTATGGATACGGCCCGCGCATTCTAAGAAGCAGGGGTCCTTCTAAAAAGCCCTCCCCCCACCCCCCTCTGCGCGTGGCCGAGAACAGTCGATGATCCTCAGAACGTGCGTTAGCGCCAACGTGTGCGTGTCCACCGATTCCCTCCGACACGACGCCGGCGCTGCACTGAGGGCCGACATGGGCGGCGTGCCCTCGGCGGATTCAATCAGGGAAGCGCACACCTTTGGCTAACGCACGCCCCGAGGACCATCGAAACAGGGGCGGGGGAGGGGCAGCGGCATGACAGCTGGTTTCGCCGGCGCTGGCTTCGCCGGCGCTGGTTTCGCCGACGGCTGGTTTCGCCGACGGCTGGTTTCGCCGACGGCTGCTTACGACGGCGCTGGTTTCACCCCGCGCTGGCTTCGCCGACAGCTGGTTTCACCCCGCTGGTTTCGCCGGCGGCTGGTTTCGCCGGCGCTGGTTTCGCTGGCGCTGGTTTCGCCGACGCCGTCGTCGCCGAGGGCGGGCAGACTCTAGCGGTCGGGTCGGGTCAGGTCGGGCGGGCGGACCCTGACGGGCGGGTCGGGACGGGCGGGCGGCACATTACAGTGTGGAGCACGCTCGACCGAACACGCGCGAAACCCTAACAAGCGGGTCGGGTCGCGCGGGCGGACTCTAGCGGTCGGGTCGGGGACCCTGATAATTAGGCGGGTCGGGTCGGGCGGGCGGGACGTGAAAGGTTGGGGGAGCACGGGCGAACCCTAACGGGCGGGTCGGGCTGGGCGGGCGGATCCTAGCGGTCGGGTCGGGTCGGGTCGGGCGGGCGGACCCTGATAGGCGGGTCGGGTCGGGCGGGCGGAACATTACAGCGTGGGGCACGCTCGACCGAACACGCGCGAACCCTGACAAGCGGGTCGGGTCGCGCGGGCGGACTCTAGCGGTCGTGTCGGGTCGGGTCGGGCGGGCGGACCCTGATAGGGGGGTCGGGTCGGGCGGGCGGGGCATGAAAGGTTGGGGCGCGCTCGACCGAGCATGGGCCAACCCTAACGGGCGGGTCGGGTCGGGCGGGCGGGACATCAAAGTGTGGGGCACGCTCGACCGAACACGCGCGAACCCCAACGGGCGGGTCGGGTCGGGCGGGCGGACCCTGGCGGTCGGGTCGGGTCGGGCAGATTCGCCGACGGCAGCTGGTTTCGCCGACGCCAGCTGGTTTCGCCGACGCCAGCCGGCTTCGCCGACGCCATCTGGTTTCGCCGACGCCAGCTGCTTTCGCCGGCGGAGCTGCTTTCGCCGGGCGGCGAAACCAGCCGTCGGCGAAGCCAGCCGTCGGCGAAGCCAGCCGTCGGCGAAGCCAGCGGTCGCCGGGGCAGCACGGCCCTCGGCATCGCCGGTGCCTCGCCGATCGGCGGCATGGGCCCCCCGACGCAGCGAGGCCACCGCACCCCCGACACCCCCCCCCCCGGGCCAGAGCGGGGCGTCCAGGCCTTCGCCGACGGGCGGCGCAAGGGCCACTTGGCAGGGCTCGAGGCTCCCCCGCCCGGGCCAGCGTGGATCCACTGGAGGTCTTGGTATACCTACCAGAACAACCCCAACCCAACCCGAAGACCCGAGCTTCGCCCGAATTTCGGGTTGGGGGAGGGGATTCTTGCGCTTGCTCAACTTTCCCCGACGCCCCCCGCTGGAGATGGGAGACAACTCGGGGGGCCTTCGGGTTGGGTCGGGGTGGTTTGGTGGGCGGTGAGGTCTGGGTCCTTCCCCGGGGATCGATTCGTCATCCTGGTCGCTTGTGGACGGCCCCAGGGCCGGGAGGCGGGGGAGGCGGAGGAATAGGATGAGGCGGAAGAGGAGGAGATGGATCGAAGATCGAGCTGGAGGAGGAGGAGGAGGGAGGATAAGGATAAGGATAAGGCCCTTGGGGGTCTGTCAACTTCGCCTACCGACAGGCATGCCGACCCCTGGGAGATATATGGATGCGAGCCCACCCTTGCTTTGGGGGGAGGAGGAGGGAGGAGGAGGAGGAGGAGGAGGAGCAGGAGGAGGAGATGGAGGAGGGGGGAGGATACAGGAGGATGGAGGAGGAGGAGGAGGAGGAGGAGGAGGAGTTGGTCCAGCGTTCTGTCCACAGCTCGGGGATCTCCGGCGGCCGCTCGGGGCGATCCGGGGCCCCCCCCCCCCGAAAGCTCGCGACGGGGCGCAGCTGCTGGAAAACGCACCCGAGGCTGGAAGACGCACGCCGGGGAACACCGAGCTCGCCAAGGAAACTTCGAGTGCGACACTGTATGGCCACCCACCTCCTCTCTCTCCTCCTTCTCCTCCTCCTCTTTCTCCGACCTTCTCTCCTCCTCCTCCTCCTCCTCCTCCTCCTCCTCCTCCTCCTCCTCCTCCTCCTCCTCCTCCTCCACCCACCCCTCCTCCTCCTCCTCCTCCTCCTCCTCCTCCTCTTCCTCATCCTCCTCCTCCTCCTCCTCTTCTCCTGCTCCGCTCCTAAATGCATCGTTGTCCTGAGGCTTGGCTGTGTTCTTGCTCGCTAGAGAATCTGACACGTGTGCGGGGCCACGCTGTCAATGCCACGACTTCCCGTGGCCTTGCTGCGTTCCTGCTCTGAGCGCACACCGCTTGACGCGGCGGAGAGCTCGAGAGATCCTGGAAACCAAACGGTACAACACCGCTACTCCCCGTACCTCTCCCGTGGCGCGTTCTGACCAGAATCTGGAGGCGAATCCAGCGGTGGCGAAGAGGGTCTAGAAGGAAGCCCAACAAAGGCGACAACGGGCGAAGGGCAGCGGAATGGGTACCTCGTCCTCGTCCGAAATATACGGGGTGCCCCGCAGCGCCTCCGCCCAGGCGCTGTCGGTCGCCTCCCGCGCGCGCAGCGCCTCCTCAGAGAAGCGCGGTCAAAGACTCGCAAAGTAACCACTTGCAAATGGCCAGGATCCGCCGCAGGGGATTCACGACCCACTAGTGAGCGTCCTTTATTTCGGCGATTCGACATTGGGCGGAAGGGGGGGGGGAGGGGAGGGGGGTCTGGCTCCAGACCTCTGCTTAGCGCGACTGCTTGCAGCAGTGCGGCCCCTGGGGGGGGGCTCCACCCGCCCGAATCTATACACTCCATGGGGAGTGGGAGGGGCCCGCGCCGATCGGCAGAGCAAGGAGCAAGCAACGATCGCCCACGTATAGGAGGAGGAGGAGGAGGAGGAGGAGGAGGAGGAGGAGGAGGAGGAGGAGGAGGAGGAGGAGGAGGAGGAGGAGGAGGAGGAGGAGGAGGAGCACGAGGACGAGCACGAAGAGGAGCTCGAGGAGGAGCAGTGTCTTCTCAGGACGCTTGCGCGCGCGCACTCTGCGCGCAGCGCGGCACCCGCGCCCGGCGGCTCCTGCGCCGCCCGGTCGGCCCGCGCCGAGGCCTGCCGGGCCTGGGCCTCGGCGGCCTGGCGGGCGAGCTGCTCCCGCCGCAGCAGCTCCGCCAGCTGCTGCTGCTCCTCTGGAGGGCGAGGGAGGGGAAAGGCGAGCACAACAGGGAGTCAGGAGGAGGGAGGAGGAGAAGGAAGGAGGAGGAGGAACGGGGAGGAGGAGGAGGAGGAGGAGGAGGAGGAGGAGGAGGAGGAGGAGGGAGAGAGGAGGAGGAGGAGGAAGAGGGAGAGGAGGAGGAGGAGGAGAGGGAGGGGGAGGAGGAGGAAGGGGGAGAGGAGGAGGAGGAGGGAGGAGGAGGAGGAGGAGAGGAGGAGGAGGGAAGGAGGGAAGAGGAGGAGGATGAGAGAGGAGGAGAGGAGGAAGAGGGAAGAGGAGGAGGAGGAGGAGGAGGAGGAGGAGGGGAGGAGCGAGGAGGAGAGGAGGAGGAGGAAAGGGGGATGGAGGAGGAGGAGGAGGAGGACGGAGGAGGAGGAGGAGGAGGAGGAGGAGGAGGAGGAGAGGGAAGAGGAGGAGGAAGGAGGGGTGGAGGCGGGAGGAGAGGAGGAAGGGGGAGGAGGAGGAGGAGGAGGAGGAGGAGGAGGAGGGAGGAGGAGGAGAAGAGGGAAGAAGAGGAGGAGGAGAGAGGGAGGAGAAGCAGAGGAGGAGGAGCAGGAGGAGGAGAAGGAGGAGGAGGAGGAAGAGGGAGGAGGAGGCAGGAGGAGGAGGAGGAGGAGGAGGAGGAGGAGGAGGAGGAGGGGGGAGGAGGAGGAGGAGGACGCGGAGGGAGGAGTGAGGAGGAGGAAGGAGGAGGAGGAGGAGGAGGAGGTCGGAAGTGGGAAGAGGAGGAGGAGAGGGAGGATGGAGGAGGAGGGAGGAGGAGGAAGGGTGAGGAGGAGGAGGAGGAGGAGGAGGAGGAGGAAGAGGGAAGAGGAGGAGGAGGAGGAGGAGGAGGAGGAGGAGGAAGAGGGAGGAGGAGGAGGAGGAGGAGGAGGAGCACGAGGAGGAAGGAAGGAACGGCGCGGGCCTCGGCCCCATCGATGCCCTCGATTCCCGCCGGTCCCTCGATCCCCCGATGCCCGACGCTGCTCGACGTGGCCCTGGTGCCCCATCATCGGCCCTTGGTCTTCCGCTCGGATCGAGCAGAGCACGGTCCTCCGCCAGGGTCGAGCGGAGCACCTCCCTGTGCTTCCCCGGCCTCTTCCCTCCCCCCGCCCTCCTTGCTGCGCAGTTCCAACGGGGCTCTCACCTTCTGGGACACGCTAGAACCTCGGCTAGAGGGCTGGAGTGACCCGCTCGGAGCGGGAGCACCCGGCCCCATCCCATCATTGTGCATGTTTCGGAGGCTCCTGGGGAGGAGAAAAGAGTCTTGGACGCGAGCAGTTACAGAGGTCCACCTCCCTCCTCCTCCTCCTCCTCCTCCTCGTCCTCCTCCTCCTCCTCCTCCTCCTCCTCCTCCAATGAGGGAATCCAAAGGGGGGGACTGGCTCACAGGGAAAGGGGGGGGGGGCGGGGGGGAGGAGGAGAAGGGTGAAACATCGATCTGGAGTCGGCGATGCATCCCCGATAGATCGGCGAGAGGCCCTAGATTCTGAAACCGCTCGATGATCCTGGGAAGAGTTGAGCCCGAGGGCCCCAATGCAAGGTGCACGGGCGGTGTGGGGTCGATGTTCCCCCCCCAAGGGCAATCTCTTCCTCGGAGGATGTCCTCCCATGTGTCCCATGGAAGACTCATCGGCTAGAATATCGAGTTGGCCCTCCAGGAATGGGAACACGAGATCCTGTCCAGGCCCCATCCCATTAACAAAAGCGTTCCAAGGTCCGCTCGAATTCCTGGGGTGGGCACTGTGGGCACTGGGTACCCCTCCCTTGGGAACCGAGCACGTACACAGGTGCACGCCCCTCCTCCTCCTCCTCTTCCATCCCGCCTCCTCCCTCCTTCCTGCGTGGGGGAAAAAGGACGAAGACGATCTGATCAGCTGGCCGCCCCCCAAAAAAACTCGCTGCACATGCGAAAACTGTTTGGACATCTACGATCGGGGGCGGCCAAGAGGGGGGCGTCCAAGATGGGGGGGCGCAAATCATGGCCGACGGCATGTGCGCGGCCCAGGGGGCGGGCAAGGGACGAAATGAAATAAGAACAAGCGCCATCAAATCTGAGGAAATGTCATGCCCCACGCCATGGTATCCACCCCCCCAGTCATCAACCCCCTCTTGGCCGCCCCGGATACGATCGACACTCACTGTCGCTACATCATGAGTTGAGGGCCACGTCTTCATGGCAGTGCGGAGGGGGCTGGGAATGATGGGCATGCGCTCCTTGACGAAAACGTTGCCCCGAAATGTGGGCGCCGCGACCGCCTCGACGACCTCCCGGACCGACCCGGCGGAGTGGTCCAGGGTCGGAAATCACGCAGCCAGGGGATTCAGGGACACCGCCCTCCTCTTCGTGCTGGTACCCTGCCCCCGTGCGTCCACAAAGAGTATGGGCCACTGCTCCTCGAGCGCGCTCCCCGGCTTCGCCCTGCAAGGCGGGGGGGGACGCCACTCCCGACGCATCTACTGCTCGGGGGCGGGGAGGCCCACAGGCTCCCAAGAAGACCCCAGGAGGCTCTGGAAGGAAGGGGGAGACCCCATCCCTGCCGCATTCGGTGCTCGGGGGCGGGGGGACCCGCAGGCTCCCAAGAAGCCCCCAGGAGGCCCCAGAGGGCCCCCCAAAGAGGCGCCAAAACGACCCCCGAGAGGCTTCCCTGGGTCCCTTGCTCAATCCCCTGAGCCTCAGTCCTCACGCCTGAGGATTCTTAATGGGACCGGACCACAAGCTCTTAAATCTCTTGAGGCTCCCCGCGCGCCCTCTGGAGCCCCAGAATAATCCCGCATGACTTTTTCGAGCCCAATAGGGCCCAAGATTGGCCCACGAAGCCCCCAGAGGCCCTCAAGACGGACCGAGAAAGCCCCGAATCACCGAACGATCGGTCCAAGACGCCAAAGGTGGCCCCACGGCCATTAACATAATAAACATCAGTATCATCATCATCATCATCATCATCATCATCATCATCATCATCATCATCATCATCATCATCATCATCATCATCATCATCCTCATCCTCATCCTCAGAATCACCCTCATCCTCATCCTCATCCTCATCCTCTACTCATCCTCCGCATCCTCATCCTCCTCCTCCTCCTCATCATCAACATCAGCATCATCATCATCATCATCATCCTCATCAGCATCATCATCAAAAACATCATCATCATCACTATCACCATCACCATCACCTTTTTCATCATCAGTATCATCATCACCATGATCATCATTTTCATTATCAGTTTCACCATCATCATCATCATCATCATCATCATCATCATCATCATCATCGTCATCATCATCATTATCATCATCATCATCATCAGGAGCGCCCCAGATCGGCGGCATTGGCCGGAGGGCAGCGCAATGAGGTCTTTCCAGCAGATCTGTAAAACTGTCGACAGAAACACCCAGATTGATTATCGAAAATGCAAAGACGGGGACCAAAGTTAGGCTACGTCTCGATTGTGCTATTAGGGTTAGGGGCTCCTGCAATTCTCGATAATGTCGCCCTGGCCCTCACCCGCGCAATCCCGTCGCCCGCGCAATGAGAAATGTACCCATATTTCAATATCATTGCGTTGACAAGCGGAATACGGCAGGTTCGTATCTTGCGGACCTCGGCGTTGGTTTCTGACACCGCAAGCATCGTTTCAACCCAGAACGATCGGCCGCTTCCGAAGCACAAGATTGGGCCGGGCGAAAGGGGGGGATAGCAAAGATGGGGGGTTGAGAATTAGCTGACGTAGCTGATTTCCCGGCGCCTCCCGGCGCCGGAGGCGACCATGTATCGAGGAATGGGCCCTCGGTGGGGCTGAAACCAGCTGCATGCTGCAGAATTCCAAACCCCCCTTTCCTCATCCCCCCCTTTCGTCTGGCCCGACAAGATCATTCAGCATCGACCGGTTCTGGGTCGACGCTTGCGTTCAACCTCTCAAGCAATTGGATGGCCCAAGCGGGTGTCCAGCTAGAATGGATTGTGCAACAGGTTTGAGGCAACTGTATTGCAAATGTGGTGCGCCAGAGAATTGCATCGCATCGTATTGCAGTGAATGCACTGCGCGCGCAAGCCCAGCAATACACATGCGCACCGGAATGTACGGCACGCCCCAGATCTACTGCAACCCAGCTCTGCTGCACCAAACATAGTGCACCACCCCCCTGTCGCTGGACCTCCTCTTGGCTCGACCAGAAGAAAGGTCGGGTCAGAGATGATGGAACTCCTGAGCGCGGTCTCTTGAGCAGGGACCGACCGTCCCGGCATTCCTATAGTCATACCACGAAATGTTCTTAGAACCCACAAATTTTCTAAGAACAAAAACAATGTTCTTAGAACATAAACCCGATGTGTTCAAACAAGCCAGACTCCGCCAAACATGTTCTAAGAACATTCCGTGGAAACCACAAACGATTCTTAGAACATTCTTTGGTGGGGCTATAGGCGAACCAGGACGCTTCGCCACTACTTGAGTCTCTGGGGCCCCCGTGGCGCTCCAGTGGAGACGCCAGAGGGGTGGCAGACCCCACGGCCGACCCTTCGTGGGCCTCCGCGTCGGGCTCGTGCCGTGCCGACCTCGGCTCTGGCTTCTGGTTCAACTGAAGGGGCCCCAGGACACACAAATAAATACACACAAATCAAAAGATCCCCAATCTTTTTTCAATATTTTCTGAATTTCTGTCTTCCCCCCCCACTTCCCATGTTTTCCCATATTTTCCTGCGGAATCGGCGATTAATTGTGTCTGTGTGTTCTGTCTCCTCCTGATGGTTTCTCGTTCAACCTTGAACGATCGGCCTCTTCCGAAACGTCCAAATCATTTCACATCGAATGATTCTGGGCTGTCCGCGGCATTCAACGTTGAACGCCGCTGGCGGGCTCGCCGCTGGTCGACACAACACGAACCTGCCATACAGCCGAAGAAGCGCCCAAGACGCGCCGGGATGGTTCCAAGAGGACTTCGAGGGGTCCCGGAGACGGACGGACAAACCAATGATTGCGCATGGGTTTTCGGAAGATGTTCGCGGCACCGCGTTTCGGGACCGCCCAGGACGACCCAAAAGGGCCCCAAGATCGCTCCAAAGACAGCCGAGAGAGCCTCAAAGAGGGCCCCCAAATGGCCCAAGAGGGCCCTGAGGCGGCCCAAGAGGCCTCCAAGACAGGCCCAGAGGTGGCACAAGAGGCCTCCAAGACGGGCCCAGAACTCACATATCGAGCTCTCGGCTCAAAGAGGCGCCCAGGAAGCCCCCAGAGGCCCCCAGAGGCCCCCAAGAGCTCCACAAGAGGCCCCAAGAGGCCCCCAAGCTGCCCCAAAAAATGCCTCAAAGACCCCCCAACAGGCGCCCAGAAGCCCCAAGAGGCACCCAAGAATCCCCCAAGAGGCTCCCCAGAGGCCTGCAAACTGCTCCCCAGAGGTTCCCGCGAGACCTCCGAAGAGCCCAAGAAACACACGTAAGGACAAACCCAGGTCCGTCTCGAAACTCTGCTGGAATCTCTTGAGTCGGTCGGCTCTCTTCGACAGGGCGCTTCCTGCGTGCCCTATGGCCCTATCGTCCCCCCTGAGCACGAGCATACCACCACGCAGCAGCAGTGATGCGAAATGGGCCGGCGGAATGAGCGGAGTCATGATTAAATAGGCAGGCGCCTCAAGCACATTGCACGACGAAGCACGAAGCAATTGCCGCTGTGGGCCGCGAGGGCCAGGCAAGCTGGCGCAATAGCGCCAAACAGTCTGGGAATGGACAACGTCAACAGCGCCATAGCGCCAAACAACAGTCAACGTCGCGTGGTACACTATTGGCAAACAGACCGCCTGCTGAACACGAGGCAAGCAGGAATCTGGGAATCCATACATGCCTACTTTCAGCGACCGATGGGTATCATTTGGAGGCCGCTTGAGGGTCTGAAGTGGTTGGAACATGAGAAAATCTGTCAGGAAAGAAGATGAATACAAATCCGCTCAAAATCGGTCCCTGGACACCTCCTGGGGTCCAACTGGTGTGTTTTTCCATGCCAAATCTGGAATTCACTGTCCCAAAACCCGGAAACGGCCCCAGAAGTCGTTAGAAACAAAAGACCTTCAAGAACCCGGCAACTCGAACCTGTCCGCACTTCCTGCTGGCCGGAACCAGTCTTGGACCATCACGGACCCAAGACTACTCCGACCTCTCCCCTCTCTCCTAGGTCCCTCGTCCGAGGGGCGCTGGAAAATGCGCCGCCGAGGGGTCGGCGCCGGAGAAGCCGCCGGGAAGGAGTGTATGACGAAACCAAGACAGGAATAAAATCGGACCGGGGCAACTCGGAGATTCTGGCGGTGCTGGTAATTTCGGTGGCAACTCATGTGAGCCTCCCGTACACTGTTGTCGGCTCTTGCGAATCGACGCTAGTCGAGGCTAAATGGACTCAAATCGACGCTAAATCGACGTTAATCGACGCTAAATCGACGCTAATCGACGCTTGGGGAGAAGAGCAGGAGGAAGAGGAATCGCAGCCGAACCCCGAAGCGCGGAGCGCGAAGAACCTCGCGCCCGCGAGGGCGCCCTTTGTCATCGCACCCCCCAGCGCGGGCTCCGAGGTCCGACCGCAGCTGCTCGTCCGGGGAAGGAGGCCCCCGGGGGCAGGGAGCCGCCCAGACCCTGCGACGTGCTGGCTGCCGCTGTGCTTCGACGCGCGACGGAGGGCCGAGTCCGTCCCGCCGCTCGCGGCCTCCCTCGTGCCGCTCTTTCCGAAAGTGCACCGTTCGCGAACAGGTCAACCCATATCGTTCGAGTAGGGGGTCGACGACAGAATGGATTCACCCCGAGATCAGCGTTCTCGTCGAACACGTGAGAGAACTACGTAGAACAGTCAGTAGACCTATGGAGCATTCTAAGTCTGTTTCGAAGACTCGACGGGAAATCCATGTATATCGCGCATGCAGTCGATCCCCTACTCGAAGGGTGCGCGGTAAGGATGCAAGGGCTTTGGAAGGCCATGCTGGCGTCTGCGAGCGGGGCGCGGCCAGGAGGAGGAGGAGGGGGAGGAGGAGGAGGAGGAGGAGGAGGAGGGGAGGAGGAGGAGGGAGGAGGGGGGGGAGGGGGAGGAGGAGGACGGAGGAGGAGGAGGAGGAGGAGGAGGAGGGAGGAAGGGAGGGGGGAGGGGGAGGAGAGGAGACGGAGGAGGAGGAGGAGGAGGAGGAGGAGGAGGAGGAGGAGGCGCTCTGGCTGAGACCCTTTTCCCAGATCCTCGAAGCCAGGACTTGTCCACGACGTGGGCCCCCCAGAGCTCCGGACCCCTCCCCGGGGACGCACGCCTCACCCCGCACCTCTGGCTGACGGTCCTGAGGTACGACGAGGCGAGGACGAGGAGAAACTGGGGCGAGGAAAATTCGGACGAGAAACTGTGAGATACGATTCGGACGAGGACGAGGAAATTTCGGACGAGGAACATTCGGACGAGGACGAGGAAACTCGGACGAGGATGAGCTCGGACGAGAAACTGTGAGACCCCGCGGCTCTGAAAAACGTGTCGGACGCCGCGGCCTCCTCAGAGAACGCTCTGAGAGCGTTCTTGAACGCTCGTGAACGGATGCATCCTGGTCCTGGCCCTGCCCGATGAGAGCCTGCGAGGGCCACCAGACACCGACCACGGCCAAACACGTCCAATGCCCTGCACAAAGACGCCTCGCTGGGCCCGTCCCCGCAGCGTGCATCCTGGTCCTAGCCCTGCCCGATGAGAGCCTGCGAGGGCCGCCAGATGCCGACCAAGGCTAAAAACCTCCAATGACCCTCGCAAAGACGCCGCGCTGGGCCCGTCCCCGCAGCGTGCGCCCCCCCTCTCCAGACATGCGAAGACACATTCCTTCCGCGCGCGGCCCGCAGGGCCCCAAGCTAAGACGAGGCCAGGACGAGGAGAAGACCAAGAGAGGATACATCGGGAATATCTGAGATCCAGCGGCCCTGGAAAATGTCTGGGGCGCCGCGGCCTGTCTCGGAGCCTTCTGGAAAGCTCTGAGAGCGTTCCAGAACGCGCTGGAATGGATTGACCCTCGTCCCAACCCCGTCCGAAAACAATTTCTCCTGGTCTAGCCCTGAATCTACTTTTTACGGCACCCGGGCCAAGTGACGGGCCCCGGAAGCCGAAGTGAAGGAAAAACGCCCGGATGTCCGGATGTCAAAATCAGATCGTCAGACATCTGGGCTTCTGCCGCTCTTGCCGAACATGCGCCGTATCTGCTGTCTCCCCCCCGTGCACCGCAAAAGACAGCGCCGACATTTCGCAAACATTGAAACATCGTCCCCATTTTTCTGCAGCACTTATCGAGCCAGATCGATATTTGAAGGGGCTCGAAAAGGAGCAACACCGCCCAAGTTTCAAACATTGCAACGCCAAGATGTCAGGCAAGCCGATTTATTTTCGGGGATCCACTGATCCTGGTAAATCCAGACGGGTCAGTCAGGCCTTGCAGGATCCTGCAAGATCCTGCAGGATCCTGAAGGATCCTGCGCCCTGGCCCCAGTCAATGCGCCCCTGGCCCTGCAGAATCCTGCCACATCTGGCGCTCTGGCGCTCGGGCTGGCCACCGTCTGCACTGACCCCCGTCTCGACGCTCCCCGAGCAGCGCCAGGATTGACGAACGAGCAACGCACACCCATACCCATAGGGGGGTCGCTGAGAGGAGGACTGGCGGTGGGCATGGGTGCGGGTTGCCGGACCCTGGGGCACACTCCCGTTCGAGCGGGGACCTCCATCCGACAACACGCACCAATAGCCCTCTCCGACCCCCCTATCGGTCTGGGTGTGCGTTGTTGATTCGTCAGCTGGCGCGAGGGGGCTGGCCCTCCAGGACGGCGGGGGGCTGCTCAGAAGGCAGTGGCCTCTTTCAGAAAGCGCCGGAGGCTTCAGAGAAGGCGCCGGAGGCCGCAGGAGCCCTCTCCGACCCCCCGTGTGGGTACTACAGATTTCGTAATAAAGGGAGGGAGGTCTCATTTCGGGGGGGGGGTCTCTTCCAGGCTATCTTGGAGGGCCTGGGGGGTTCTGGGGACGAACTTTTGGAGGGTGCTCCCACGAGGGGAGGTCTGAAATGGCTTGTCTTGGAGGGTCCAGACCCCCTCCCTTTTATTACGAAATCTGGAGTATTGGTGGTTCGTCCAGGATGTCGGGCGAGCGGTGCCGTTCTTCCGCCCCCCCCATGGGGATCCTCGAGCGCCCGCGCCAGCCTCTGCTCCGCGTGCGCCACGAAGCGGCTCGCGCGGAGGCCGGCCTCCTCCGCCTCCCCGGCGTCGGCGGCGGCGCGCGAGAAGGCGGCCTCGGCCTCATCCGGGGGAGCGGCGACGACGACGACGACGACGACGACGACGACGACGACGGCGACGGCGGCGGCGGCGACGACGACGATGCACAGGCGAGAGGCATGGCAAGCGGCTCAGAAGGCAGCCCCTGGAAGGTCTTCGCAGGAACGATGAAGGGGCTCGCCCGATGAAGGGGCCATTGAGCCAGATTGATTGGCCCACGTCGAGCCCAGGTTCAACCCGAATTTTGCGGGGTCGAGCCGAAGCTGTGCCGCACCAGGCCAGCTTTCGACCATGGCTACAGATGCACCCCCCCAGGAATTGCATCCGAACCTTTGAGGGGTATCTGCCAGGGAGAATGCCTCTCTTGACGAGCGAGAACACACACCCATACCCATGGGAAGGTCAGAGGAAGGGGGACTGGCCATGGGTATGGGCGCGGGATATCGGACTCCTGGGGAAGCTCCCGTTCGAGCGAGGACCCCCATCCGACAACACGCGCACTGGCCCCCTCCGACCGCACTATGGGTATGGGTGTGTGCTGTTCGTCGTTATCTGTCGGTCGCAGATGGACATACTAGACTATGTGTCGTCCTTGGAGGCGTGCGTCGAACACATGGTATAAGCATCTTGTAGTATATCGCTTCCCGAGCGGTGTGGCCAGAAAGAACCGAAACACGGAGCATATACTGTCAGATTTCTCGGCGCGCGCATCGCCCCACGGGGGGCGACGCACGCATAGTATTAGCATGTTTTAGCGGCCAGCGAGGGGGGGCTAAAGAGAAGGAGAAGGCCTTCTCAGAAGGCTCGGAAGTCCGCCGGCCTTCTGTGTCAGAGCTTCCCCTGAAGACACAGAGAACATCTCAGAGGCCAGAGGGCTTCTGAGAAGCCCCGCCGCCTTCTGAGAGGGCCTTCTCCTTCTCTAACTTTCCCCCTCTCGATCGCCGCCGCATGTTGGGGTGACGCCGATCGTGGTGGGGGAATCACCCAGACCCTCTTACGTCGCGGAGCAAAAACAGGACGGAGAATGGCTGCAAACTTCGAAGGCCCTGGTCCGTTTTTCTACTGGTTCCGTCTCGCCGTTTCTGTTGCCGCCCCCCCCCCCACTGGAAGTGGAGGGCAAATGAGGCTTGGTGGGCAGTGAGGGGGGGGGGTGGTGGGGTTGGGGTGGCTCGGTGGGCGGTGAGTCACCGCTTGCTTCCCAATTCCGGCTCCGGTTCCAATCCCGGAGCAGTGATCCGATGCCGTCTCCGGTCGCCGCTGCTTGGCCGCCTCGTCCTTCAGGATGCCCTTTCCCGGACGGATCCGGACGGACGCCGGCGCGTGGCCCTTTTGCCCACGCACTTGTGCATGCCCTCGTCCTTCAGCGTGTCCCCAGCCGGTGATCTTGCCGTGTGTGTCCAGTGTCCACGGCCAGTAGCCGCCTGCACATGCTGGCTCACAGCCTCTGCCCTGCGAGCCTTTGGGCGTGGACGCCCCGGAAGCGGTGACACTACGGCCCTGCCGTTCCCAGGGCCCCCTGCGGTTGCCAGGTGAACGACGACAAGAAATTGGTCTTACGCGAGATCGCATAATAAGCGACCATGCGCGGTGGCTCACGCGGGCCGCCACCGCGGCATGCCACACTGGAGACGAGGACGCTTACGCGCGAACTTACGCGGGCACCTCGCGCACGAAAGTCGGCGCAGACTTACGCTTAGGTCGGGCATGTCCTCCCCCCAAACACTCAAAAATGGTCCCGAGTAGTCGAACAATCGTCCTGAAATGCGCTTGAATATCCCTCCTGTAGAGGGACCGTCGGCGCAGGCGGTCCGGTTTTGTCGGCGTCGCCCAAGGGCTCTGCGCCTCCGGGGTGGGCCGGGGCCGGGGGACCTTCCGAGGGAGCCGAGCCGCGGTGGAGGGCCCGACACCCTCCTCCTCCTCCTCCTCCTCCTCCCCCTCCTCCTCCTCCTC